GTGTGTGTGTGTGTGTGTGTGTGCCCACAGAAACTGGAAGAGGGCATTAGGATCCCCTGGAGTTGGGAGCCTTCTGACATGACTGCTGGGAACTGAACTTATGTCCTCTGCAAGAGCAGCAAGTGCTCTTAACCAAGGAGTCAACTCTCCCGTCCCACAAATATTCTTTTTTGTTGGTGCCAGGGATTAAACTCAGGGCTTTGCACAAGCCAAGCCTGTACTTGACCTCCGAGCCACGCCACCAGTCCTTAAACAAATGTCTCATATGGAAAATTTTGTTTCCAGTCAGTATCATGAATATGTAGCAGGGACTTGTGTGGTCATGAGCTCTCTGCCGTGGAAGACAGCCAGTGGAGGTTACATAAGTGCCTCTGTCTACAAGATCAGTGTGCGTGGGCTGGAAGGGCCGAGGCTTTCCAGATCGGAGAGTCTGGCATTCTGAGTGCCTTGCGATCGACCCATAGCAGACACACAGAGAAGGTAACTGATTTACCCAAAGTCACACACAACAATTGGGAGACAAAACAAAAGGATAGTTTATTCCTGTCATATTTTATAGTCCATAGAGTATGTTACTGGCCTAATCCTGGAGACCATGTTACTAGTGCTGGATTACCATTGTACAGATACGGAAACTGAGGCAGGGCAAGTGTCTTGCCTGAAGTCACACAGGCAGGAAATGTTAGATTAATGTTGTTTTTTCTTTTCCCCGACTCCAAACCATCCCTAATACCCAGACCACATCTGCATTAAGTAGTAGGGACCCCATACTTCGCTGTGAACACAAATCTCTCGTGCTCCTTCCTGGGAAGCCTGGCAATTTTACCGATTTCAACCTTAGCATGCATAGACATGAGCAAACAGCATCTTCCCTCTAGGCGGCTGGTGGTGAGCTGGCAGGGTGGTCCTGGCAAGTGGTTACCAAGTTCAGGCCCCTGAACTGATGTCTCGCTCGGAAGACAGTTTAGAATGGAGACATGTGCTTTGGGGAATTGGTTTCACGTAGCCCAGGCCGGCCTCAAACTCACTTCACTATGCAGCCAATAATGACCTTGAACTCCCCACCCCCCCTTCACCTAACTTCCCAGCATGCACCATCCTCAGATGAACTGTTTGTCATGTATGCATGCAGAATCTGACCTCTGACTCAGAGGTCAGAGTGGCGATAGATCCCCTGGACCTGGAGTTACAGGTAGTTGTGAGTCACCAAGGGGGCACTGGGAATCGAACCGAGGGCAACGGGAAGAGCAGCCAGTGCTCTTCTTAACTGCTTGGTCATCTCTCCAGTCCTGTTTTTAAACTCTTCACAGGCTGAAGGGCGGTCATTGACCTCATTAACCTCCCCTTCATCCCTGCCTCAGCTTGTTCTACAGGTCTAGAGAATAGCTAGAGTAGCTGGAGTAGCTGGGGCAGCTGGAGTAGCTGGAGGTGCCTGGGGATGATACAAGGAAATGTGCCCTGTCACGGGAAACACACTTGCTCATGTGGGGACACACACTAAACAAGTCAGATAAGGGACGGCACGTAGCCACAAGTCCATTGCTGTCCTGGCACTCAGAAGGTGGGAGCAGGAGAATCAGGAGTTTGAGGATAGCCTGGGCCGCACAACTCTGCCTCAGACAAACCAAACCAAGACAGAAATGCAGAGAAACAGAAAGAAAAAGAAAGTCTCAGAATCACCCTGCCTAGAAATTGATGTTGGGCCCATTTCCTTAGAGCATCTATTTTGTTTTCGCCCTCACGGGGAGTGGTAGCTTTCTTTGTAAGCCTAATGGATGCATGTGCCTTGCCAATGATCACCTACTTGTTTACTGTTTACTTGTATGAGGGTGAGTGTGTGTGTACAGGGGGTGCAGATGCCCCTCCCTTAGCATGTGCACGTGGAGGCCATGATCTCACGGAACCTGGAGCTCAGGGTCTGCACCTCACCCCCTGGCCTTACAGCCCCAGGATCCTCCACCCCAGGGCTGGTTCCTCAAGCCTGCACAGCAAGCTTATTTTACCCAGAGAACCACCCCCCCACAATCCTGTTTTTATTGTGTGTATGCGCGCACACACGTGCCACAGAATGCTTGTGGAGGTCAAAGGATAACTTCCTGGAGTCAGTTTCTCCTTTCACTATGTGAGTTCCAGGAATTAAACTCAGATTGCCAGACTCTGTAGCAAGACCTTTACCTACTGAACCCTATTGTTAGCCCATATTTCTTTTCTTTTCTTTTCTTTTCTTTCTT